CTTTTGTTCTCTTTGGGGAAGGGGAGGAGGGAAGATAGAGAAAGAGAAAATGTTTTATGAGCCAAGTTCTGCCCTGGTTGTTGTTGTTTTTTAAAAAAAAAACATTTTTATATGCAATGGAATTGAATAAAATAGAGCATCCAAAACCAAGAAATGGTAATGAGAGTGCCAACAGACCCTTAATTGCTGTTTTTCAGCACACTGTACACAATCAGTGCCGAAACAGTTTGGAAATGTCTTGTTTAAAATACATTTAGGCCATTCAAAGAAGATATTGATATTCGCTTGAGAGCCAGTAGTGCCTTGAAGGCATCTCTCAGCAAGAGGAACTATTTCTGCTGCGTGACACTCAGTAACAGCAGGTGGGATGAAACACTGAGAAACAGGGAGGAAGGCAGCACATATTAAGTATTTAAGGCTCCATTTGGCTGCCTGCTTGGTTGTTATTTCTCATAAGCTGGCACTGGCTGCATAAAGCCATCATCGGCACCAAGGGCTACTCTAGCGATACCATCTCTGGAAGCCAAGGGGTCAGCTTTACTCCTCCCCCTGGCCCTCCCCATATCACATTTGATGGGACTGAGTAAAAAAAAATATATCTTTAGGGCAAAAACATTATTCTGCTGCTGCTGTAAAGCCTGGCAAATAGATAGATGATTCTCCAGTTTGATTTCACTGTAGAAAGTCTATGGGCTGTGACAATGGGCTTTCCTGGAGAGCAGCTAATGCAGTTGGTGGTAGCACAGGCAGTGTTCATGGGAGACATGAATTTGGTCTCATTCTCCGGTCATATAATGTAGTATTTCTACTTCACGCAGGGATTTGTAAGACTTGTGGGACAATATATACCCTCCTGTAGACATAAAAAATGTAAGGCTGTCGCTGCGCAGTCCACATTGGAGGATTTGTAGTGGTGCATTGCAATCCTGGGTTTGCATGTAGTCAGGTAAGGAGAGGGGAGCGAAAGAGAAGATGGGCTTTAAAATGGCTCTTTTAAACAACAGCAGAGGTTTGAATAAAGAAGGGACAGAGGGACACAGAGGAGCTGTGAGGATATGTGGGGCCTGATGAGCAGTGAGGGGACAGGGTTTGGGAGGAGTGGGGTTTTGGGGGGTGGAGGGTAGGTTGGGTTGGTGAGCAATGTTAGCAGGGGCAGAGCACACACAGCATATATGCCATCAAACCGTCCTGAGCATCTCACATCAGTCTTGGTGTGCATATTCCGGTTCCCCTCAACATCCTCCCTCCTTCCCTGGAACAACAAATCCGAGATCGCTTTAAACAGCTCAATCAGAAAGATTGCTTTCCAGTGGGATGGCTCGTAACAGCAGAGAGAACAGCGATCTGTTCCAGTTGTCCAGCGCAAGATGCAAACACTCAAAACTGGAGCACAACAAGGAGAAGGAGCTGGAATTTTTATAGATCATCCACTCTGGTTCTGGTGATTGTTATTATTTGACAAATGCTGAATCACAGGATGGCTCACTTTTGAATCAACTTTGAATCACAGTTCAGATGATTCACATAGACTAGGCAGATTGTTTCTGGTGCAGCTTCTTCCCCATTTATTCTGAACACCTGCAAGTATAGGGAGGTATATAAATTCTAATAATAATAATAATTCATTTTAGGGAAACAACCTGATTTGCTTCTGTGACTAGCTGCATGCATGGATCTGCCCTTTCTCAATGGATGGGGCATAATACCCTAAAAGCTGCATTTGTCCCCTCTCCTTTTTATTAAGCTATATGAAACTTTATGAAGAATTGATGCTTTTGAATTATGCTGCTGGAGGAGACTCTTGAGAGTCCCATGGACTGCAAGAAGATCAAACCTCTCCATTCTTAAGGAAATCAGCCCTGAGTGTTCACTGGAAGGACAGATCCTGAAGCTGAGGCTCCAATACTTTGGCCACCTCATGAGAAGAGAAGACTCCCTGGAAAAGACCCTGATGTTGGGAAAGATGGAGGGCACAAGGAGAAGGGACGACAGAGGACGAGATGGTTGGACAGTGTTCTTGAAGCTACCAGCATGAGTTTGACCAAACTGTGGGAGGCAGTGGAAGACAGAAGTGCCTGGCATGCTCTGGTCCATGGGGTCATGAACAGTCGGACACGACTAAATGACTAAACAACAACAATGAAACTTTGAAGCTAAATCAATATTTTGCAATGTTATCTCCTCCTCCTCCTCCTGCTGCTGCTACTACTACTACTAATAATAATAATTAGTCACATCCTTACAATAGAATGCTGGTCACTATGATTATTCCCATATTACAACTGGTGGACTAAAGTGAAAATAGTGCAACTTGCCTAATTAAATTTAGTTATGTGATGTTTGAACTTGAGATTTGCCCCCACACCCCTGCAAAGATGACTCATGAGACAAAGCATTGGGGTAATTAATACTGCATAGCAGCATGGAGGAACTGCAAACCAAATCAACCAACTTCAGTATAACTCATTCCAGTTGGGAAGCATTTCTCCACATCCCTGGGCATGTGACACAGAAGTCTCTTGCTCTCCAACAAAGAATGGGAAGGCACTCCCTCCCTCTTTGTGCCCCTATTATGAGAGGGGGGGTGATGTTTTTAGAAATCTGTTCCACACTCCCATTTGTGCCACGCTTTCCAGGCACAGGTCCAGGATTTCCAGGTCCTAGCAGTTCCTTCCTTCCTTCCTTCCTTCCTTCCTTCCTTCCTTCCTTCCCTTTTCCCAGGAAAACCCACATTTTCCTGCTGCATCCGAGCAAACAGCAGTCCTTGGAAAACCCAATTGCTGTTTGCTCCAGCAATAAAACATGGGTTTTCCCGGAGAAAGCAGCAGATCTGGAAATCTGTGCCTAGAAATGTGGCACAAAATGAAGTGTGGATGAGACCTTAGTATTCTCAGCAACATCTTATCAACATATACATATATTAATAGTAACCTCTATATAGCATTCCTTGTTATTTGCTATATGTTACTCCACTTGTGCTTTTCAGTGATTTGATTTGTCTAATGGTAATCTCAGTTGTCCCAGTGCTGGCACTTAGGTAGGCAAAATGGCGCCATCCATGACAAGAAGGAAGTATCAGTAGGGTTGGGGAAAATCCAGTTTTTGCAGAGGTGCAAACAAAAAATGCTAGGCTGGAGACACCCCCCTCCACCCCCACAATAAAGTATCTAATGAAGACTGAGAAAAACACAGCATCTGTTGATGGGTTAGGGAGTAAAACTGGGATGGAGGTGGAATGGAGTACCCTTAAAAAGTTTATTGCTGACTGGCTGGAAAGCTGAACAGGAGCATTCCTGACCTCAACATTTTGCTGCAGCTATCACTTATCAAGTGGAGTTCGAAGATTCCAGTGTGGTGTAGTGGTTAAGAGTGATAGACTCGTAATCTGGGGAACCGTGTTCGCGTCTCCACTCCTCCACATGACCTTGGGCTAGTCACACTTCTCTGAAGTCTCTCAGCCTCACTCCCCTCACAGAGTGTTTGTTGTGGGGAAGGAAGGGAAAGGAGAATGTTAGCCACTTTGAGACTCCTTCGGGTAGTGATAAAGCGGGGTATCAAATCCAAACTCTAAATGTTTTATGCCCATACAAACACATTGTATATCTACCCAGCCCCCTTCACTTTTGGTACAACGTTTCCTTACCACTAAATGCTTTTCTCCCTTGCACAGGATCCAGAAGTTAATCTTTGTGCAGAGCTGTGTCTAAGTACTAAAGCATAATTACATTAGGCTAGGCATGCACAGTGATTACAGATGCCTCACGTCGTCCAGGCCCCCATCCCGGCCTAATATCCAGTATTTCAAAGTGACCTTTCTAATGACGACCTTTTCTTTTGCATGGGTACTTTAATCACATAAGAGGTAGGCCCCAATGTTTTAAATTCTCCCGGAAGAAATCAGAAGAAGAGTACCAATTCAATCAATGTCCACGAGTCCCTAATAAATAAACTCAACTGTGATTAGCATCTGCTGCGGCTTACTCAGTCATATCTTGCAAGTAATTAAGCAACTCCCTTCCAAGCCATTACTTGATTGCTTGGCACATTTCAGCTCAGGCCACACAGGGCAGTAGTTAAGCATCTGTGTGTCATCCATTATACAGCGTCCAACTTTGTTTGTTTTCTGGAAGGGCCATGGAAGAGATGAAGCGACTCTTTATAGGGTTTTAAATGGATGGTAGGTATTAGACATAGGAAAGAGGATTCAAGCATCCAAGTTTCAAATGGATGGTCCTTACTTTGGCAACTTCCTGTCCAAGGCAGCAAGCTGAATATGGAGCAATAACGTAGGGTGCTGGGCGGCACCTAGTTGAATGGCAGTATCTTTCCTTCAATCCTTTTTGTACATCATGATCTTTTTCTACTCAGATCCAATCCTCAAGTTGCTAGCCTACCTATAAAGAGACCAATAGAGAGAGAAAAGCAGCTTGTGGTGAAAGGAGATTTTGACCAGGAAAGTGATGGAAAGGGTTAAGCAGCTACTTCTAATGCCAATACTGTTCCACTCAAACTGGCAGCCTTCCACAACCAGACCTTAGTTTTTTAAAAAAAAAAAAAATAATAATCAGAAGAACACACACATTTCTTCCATGTAACATCTTCAATTCTTCACTGGCCCTTAGACAGATCCAGCTAAATTAATAAACCCATTTTGTGTTCATTCTTCAGGGCATTCAGTCTCAGGTATTGTGATAAAAAGAGGGTATTTCAGTTATGTCCCAATGTAAAAGTGGGGAAAAATATATATTAAGCTGCAGTGGAGAATTAAGCTCTTTTTTATGAATTTCAAGAAAGAAGATTATAAATAATGCCCTTTGAATCTGAAGATGAGAAGTGACTGAGGCCAAGAAAGGAATTCTGTTCCTCATTCTTTCAGAAATGAGGATCAGGAGGTGGATATTCTTAGAACTTTGTGCCCCGTCCTCCATTGATAGATACGGATGTTCCAGTATTGATTGGAAAACATGATTCAATTAAGATGTCGTCAGACATCGCTCATCATGGAAACTGTCTTTTTCCCCTGGTTTTGTACAGAATTAGGCATGAATGGGATTGTACCACATCCAAAAGATTGCCTTAATTTCTTTAATCAGAATTTAAACTGTATCGTTCTCTATGGACCAGCAGCGCAGTTGGAAAGCTGTATTTTAAAACCTGCTGTTCCTGAGTTCCCTGAATGTGGAGATGGATGTGAGGAGAAGGTGACTCTGGGAAGTTGAATCTCATGATTAATAAGTTGGTTGGGACACTGTTCCTCAGCTACGTTGTCCTACATTGGCATAACTCTGTTTCCTGCAGTCTGTATGCCTGAGGCTTGCCATGGCTTGGCTGCCTGAGCTGGAATTTGTAATATCATTTGCAAAACTGAAGAAGAACAGTTTTCCTGGGAGTAGGGGGAGGACTGTTTCCAGGCAAACAACTCCTAGGTTCAGTTTGGGCACAGCTTTAGGTTTCAAAAAAACCTTTTGCTGCATCTTTTTTGCCACAATGTACCGTAAATCATAGGGACACGGATGGCGCTGTGGGTTAAACCACAGAGCCTAGGACTTGCCAATCAGAAGGTCAGCGGTTCGAATCCCCGCGACGGGGTGAGCTCCCGTTGCTCGGTCCCTGCTCCTGCCAACCTAGCAGTTTGAAAGCACGTCAAAGTGCAAGTAGATAAATAGGTACCGCTCCGGCAGGAAGGTAAACGGCGTTTCCATGCGCTGCTCTGGTTTGCCAGAAGTGGCTTAGTCATGCTGGCCACATGACCCGGAAGCTGTACGCCGGCTCCCTTGGCCAATAAAGCGAGATGAGCGCCGCAACCCCAGAGTTAGTCACGACTGGACGTAATGGTCAGGGGTCCCTTTACCTTTACCTTTACCGTAAATCATAGTGAGGATGCATCACAGCACCATCATGCAGTGGGCCTGTGGCTCATGCCTCTCTGTAACAGAAACATAACCAATGTTATACATTGCTCATTCTTGAACATGTTTTGTTCATTTCTTTCCTCTGCAGCATCAAAACTCTAGGTCAGGAGTATCCAACACAGTGCCCACCAGAAACTTTGAAATAAAACTCCCATCATTCCTGACCATTAGCCGTGTTGAAATTGAAATTTAAATACTTTATTGTCACTTGTACGACTTGTATAAGTGAGATTACACGAGAAACACCCCCCCCCCCAGCTCTCTTAGTCTTAATTCCACTCGTTTACTGACGCACACCCACCAAACCCGAAAGTCAGTTGTCCTGTTGTTATCTTTTCATTCAGGAGCCTAACAGACCATGGATAGAAGCTGTTCTTTACCCTGTTGGTGCAACTAATCAAGCTTCTATATCTTCTGCCAGAGTGCAGGAGATCAAGGAAGTGCCGGCCAGGGTGTGAATCATCCCTGAGAATTTTCCTCACTCTCCTGAGGCAACGTTCTTCCATGATGTCATCTAGCAGATTCACGGGACAGCCCATAATATCTTGTGCTGTATTCACCACTCTCTGTAGGCACTTCCTATCAGTTGATGTCAAACCAGCGTACCACACCATGATGCAGTATGAAAGGACACTTTCTATTGTGGACCGGTAGAAGGAGATCATCAAATGTTGATTGACATTGTTCTTTTGCAATACTCTGAGGAGATGGAGTCTCTGTTGGACTTTCTTAATCACCTGGGTTGTATTGATTTTCCAAGTAAGGTCTTCACTGAGATAAACTCCTAGGAATTTGAAGGAAGAGACTCACTCCACACAGCCCTCCTTGATGTACTAGTTCTACTCTCTTCCTCCGAAAGTCCAACACCTGATGGGAGTTTAGGTCCAACAACATCCAAAGGACAAGTTGTCTACCCCTGTTCTAGTCAGTGGACCACATCAAAAAATGATGGCACAAGACAGAAACTGTGTTTGCCCCTCCTATTTAGGGGTGGGACATGTGAGGGTGTGGGGAGAATGCAGCATCCCCATATAGGGAAGAGTGTCGGGAATAGGGCCTGGCCCTTTATAAGGCAGCTTCAACTTCTCCTCCTCTCTTCCCTCAGTGCAGCTACCCATTCAGCCATTCTTGGGTTGGCAGTGAGGGCTATGCCTGGTCGCTCTTTGCTAGAGATGGGTGATTGACACAGGTTTGGGTCCAATTAATTAAAACACCAGTGTGACAGAAACAAGCAGCAAAAACCTGTATTTGTAACAAAAGATATTTATAGATAGTCTTAATTATTAGTTGGTTTAAGATTTCTTCCTTGAGAAAACCGACATCTAAATGATAAAAGCAATTCTTTCAAGTATTTTTCATATGAATCTGCTTTAATTCAGATAAAACCAGTAAAAATGTGTGAACAATGTTCAAAACCTAAAAGAGAGAGAGAGAGAACATAATCCTTATAAAGGATTTGTTCCACTGATACATTTCGACAAGCCAGGTATCTAGAGTGTTGTCATAAATATCAATTTAATGGGAGTAATCCATCTTGTAAAAACAATTTCTGGGAGCTTATCAGTCATTCAAGTAATATCTATATGAATCAGGCAAACATTTTGCTATCTGTGCTTATCAGCTGGTGGCATATGCCCAGTATTAGCTCACAGCTAGAGAACAATAGCATAAAACATGAGACTGGAAATCCAAAATTGTGGAGTCTTCCTGCCATTCCTTCCATTAGTTCAACATACCATGGGTGATCGAGATAAATGCAAAGTGAAATTCATTGCTCTGCACCTCTTTATTTAGAAGGTTCAAATGATTTTATTTTAATGATTTGCATTGCCTGATCTAGTTGATCAGAAAGAGGTTCAGATACAATAGGTGGCATGCTGATCTTGCCTCCTCCTCTTCCCAGTTACTCATCTCTAGATGGGGCTCCTCAAGTGTCTATCCAGTGATGCCATGAACTTAACTGGTGTTCTAACTGGGAAAACTGTATGGAAATCTGCAAGCAATTTCCCTTGTGGCCACCAACCCCCCTGGAACCTCCTAACGTCATACTGACTCTGTCAGAGCTGCTTAATGGTGCTGTGTGGCTGTGCAAGAGATCAAGGTGGTGGGTCTTTGCAAGACGGATCAAGTTGTATCCTCATGTTGGCATTGGAACTGTTTGCACGAGTCTTTGAGCTGCTGGTTAACATGGCAGGTCATAAAATATTGGTCTTCAGTTGTGGGCTCCTGGGTCAACCTTGTGTGGAAGTCAGTTCCACTGAAATCAGAAGTCCTAGGTGAGTCTTTTAGCTCCTTTCTTCAGGAGCAAGAAGTGGAGCTACACTGGTTAGCCTTGCCACATGCTCCATACCCAATACCTGCATTTACAGTATTTATGTCTCTTGGGCTTTTACTGTCTGAGGACGAAGGCTTCCATGGGATCTGGAATGTCAATTGTTTGTGCTTCCACATCCTATGGAAGCCTTTACCCATATAACTACAGGTCTTTACAAACATTTACCTGGGGGTGGGGCGTGCACATTACTGGGGGGCAACTGCCTGGGTTAGCCCCTCTCCCATGTTGATCAAGACAGGATCTATAATGTCCACATACGGTTACTGATTTGGGAGCGATTCACACTTTGTAGTGGCAGGTGTATCTCCCACACTTATACCTGCGTTTCCTGCTAAAGCAAGGATGGGGAATGTGAAGTGCCACCCCCCAGATTGTTGGACTGCTACTCCCAGTAGCTCCCAGTAGCATGGTGAGGGATGATGGGAGTTGTAGTCCAGCAACATTTGGAAGGCCACAGGTTTCCCACCCCGGCTTCAGTAAAGACAGTATCCAAAACAGGGCCTCTCCTGAGGATCCGCAGCCCATGAAGGGCCACAGATCCCCACGCCTCTGCTAAGGACCTGTGAAGTATTAGGGGAATGCATGGGTTTCCAAACAGCCAGGGACATACTATAGCTGTGGGCTGAGGAGCCATCTTTGGACAATGCCTTTTGACCCATTATAAATGCATGCTTGTGGTACTGCATCCCATCCTCCATCTCAGTGTTTTATACATCCCCTGCAGAAAACTTCAGCGTAAATACAGCAAACAAGTATTTTATTGCTATAAAGAGAAAAATGCCCCTTACATGGAAGACAGTTTATTTTGGATTGAGTTTCCAGGCACATAAAATTCCAGCTCAATGGTTATTTGTTAGGCATCTAGGAATAATATATTTGCAATCTTATACATACCATGTCCAATACGGCAGGCTGCACCTTCCAAAGTTTCTTTACTTTATATGATTTATTTAGGACCATTAAAACAGTGTACGCCAGATAGGTATCTGAGGCATACATATTGTTAAATGAAAATCTTTTCCACAACGGGAGCATAAAACACAGCTGACAAGCCCTGCTCACTCTGGAGATAGATTCTCTGTCATAGTGGAGCATAATATCAGGCATTCTGTATCTGTTTAGTGTTGTCACTTCAGCCTGCAAACCTCCCTTATCACAAATGTATTCTTTGGGGATTATTTATCTACAGATTATGGGCATAGTAAACTACAATATCCCCTTTGGAAGCAAAGGTCATCAGTTACGTCGACAGCAGAAGTTTGTACCTTTCTACGGGTGTGAAAAAGAAGCCGTGAAGTATGGGTGAAAGAATTTAGTTTCCTTTCCACATGCTTGGAATTTCAGGATATGGATAAAAAGATGCAGGCAGAGTGTACTTTGTAACTTTATCTCTGGGTAAGCCTCAAAACAACAAATAAGAAACAATAGGAAATTTTTAGAGATTTCGGGGGGGGGGGGGATGTTGGATACTCTGCTGGTTTAAAATAAATTTCATTTGTGAGCCTTCCTTTGGGCTTCTTCAGATATTACTGGTTCTCTGACACATAGCCTGGTCTAGATATACAACAGAATGATGGAGTGGTGAACTCCTAAGGCATTAGAGTGGGCTGTATCACTTGAGATTGCAAGTAGGGTACAAGATCTTGATGTTCCTGCCTGTAAACACGAACCCTCTCCTTCTCTAAGCAGAAAACTAGCTTATTTAAGAAATTTGTTCCAGCCATCTATCTTCTTGGGAATTTTGTTTTGTTTTGTTTTTATTTTTTAAGGAGGAACATTCAAAATGTTCCCTCCCTACTTCACTGGAAATAACTCCCCAAGAATTACATAGCACAATCCGAACCATGACCCTATATTTAAAGCACATTCAATGCACATTTAAGCACATGGTTTCCCCCCAAAGACCCATGGGAAGTGTAGTTTATTCAGGGTGCTTGGAACTGTAGCTCTGTGG